TGAACCACGTGCGCGTCAGATGGACTGAAATGGTGGAGCCATCTTCGAGACAATGAACCACGTGCGCAACAGATGGACTGAAGTGGCGGACTTATCTTCGAAACAATGAGCCAGGTGCGCGAGCAGACGGGCTGGTCATATGTTGTACTAGAACACATACACACATACACCACTACAACACAATGTCGTTTTCGCAAATTCTCTTCACCAGTTCAGCACTCAGAATGAAGCTGGGTAGCATGCAGCAGCCAAGCACAGATGGGTGATCAGGCATCATTTGGCAGGGACACAGCTGGCGCGATGTCTCCGTTTAAAGGGTGGTACGGCCTTCACGGGACAGTCATCTGCACTCCTATGGGGATACGCTTACACGCCCAGCACCCGGGACTGGGGAGTGCACACGCACACGCGCACACGTCTCATCAGCTACCGACAGTGGCCAGCCAGCTGGTCGCCCTCAGCCGGAAGACACGGACCACAGACAGAACAGCAGCCGGGCGCGGCGGCCTGCGCTGGCGGGAGGCGGCCGTGCGGCGCGGGACGTACCGGCAGCGCCCCACCCTCGCGGGCCTTCTCCTGCTGCACCTCGTCGTAGCTCGGCAGCTTGGCCGGGTTTGGTGGCGTCGTCGTACGCCGGCGGCGGCTCGAAGGGCGTGGCCTTCTCGGCCGACAGCGGCGGAGGCGGCGGCGGTGGCGGCGGCGGCGGCGGCGGCGGACCGGCCACCGCCTGCGCCGCCTCGTACGGCGGCGGCGGCTCTGTCGGCGGCGCCGGCACGCTGGGCTCGGCGGCCGCCGCCGCCGGCGGCTCAGACACCTGTTAGACGGCCAGGCGATCATTCAGCGTATGGGAAGATGTCAGGGTCAAATGAATTGGGGAGGGACGTGAACTCATATTCAGTATTGGTCGAATAATGCCCTGTCTCCATTCTGAGCCCAGACTTCAGATACCATATGGGCCAGAGATCTGTGGGGTTGGAAAGACCCCAGTAGCCACAAGGAGAGCCAGCTGTGAGGGAAAGTGACTCAGCCACACAGTATCATGCCAGAACCTGATACAGGAAGCATCATAAACTTGTAAAATGGAGAAGATATGCTGGATGGTCATATAACACAAAGCAACTGAAAATTAATGTAAATGCATATATCCTTAGCAATATCTTCTGCCCCAAATATAACAGGAAACTCCAGAACAGTACATGATTGCCACCTCAATCATCAGGGCTGCTTTACATCTTACCTCATCCACCTATTCATTATAACTATATCTCATCTCTGGCAAAATATATCAGGCCTAATTCAGTTGAATAGCTCTTCTGTGGAAGCTCAAATTTGAAATAAGGTGAGTTTCTTAAGGGGCTTTTCAACAGTAACAGTACATGCATGTCCATCCAGTAGTTGTGGCTATAGACTGAGAATCAGGCAATAGAGCAATATGTGTCCCCTAAGGCTAAACATTCAGCAGCCGTAAGGTAGCTCCTGCTTTTAAACATGGTTCAGTACACTATTGGAACAGGCACTGCACACAGCATGTTATTTCAGTATCTTGGGAACCACTTACCCTCTGATATCTTGACATTGTTTCCTGTCTGTGCTTCTGAATATTACTTAGACTTTAAACAACTTAAGTCTGAAAACCAGCAGAGACAAATCAGTGTGATTGCAGCTGTACACATGGTTAGTGGTTACAAGTGAGTGATGTCATTCATGGCTACATTAGGACTTTAACTTTCAATACAAAGCAAACTACACCAAGCCCTAATTCAGGTGGCAGGCAGTGGTGCAGGTAGGATTTCACCAAGCATGACACTGAACTGGGTCATAGGGGAACAGGGGGTATTCCAGCATATATTGATTGATGTCTACTTGGAGGGGATTCTCAACAACAGGACCACTCTGTGTTACTTAGAGGCCATGTTTTAGCATTTCAGTGATATTTTTAGGCACAGAATCAGAGGTAAATACCTAGATAGCCTATTTATATATCTTGGAAGCTCTGTATACACCCTAAACTGTAAGTCCTAGCCATAAGTGACACTGCTAACCCCAGCAGGAGGGTAATATGACTTGAAAAGCTTCCACTTAGCTATGCTGCTCATGGAAGGCAAATGTTTTGTTGTCACACATTTGTTAATTTTCATTGAGATCATTGTAAAACACTTTTGCACCTGCTGTAGCCTTTTCAAGTTCTACTAAGAAGGCAGCCAATACCACATGGTGCTCAAAAGTATACAAAATATGTGGTCAGTTACATGAGTAGAGGAACTACTGATTGCAAAGCATAGGCACATGAGCCAAGGCTGGGTAAGCAGGAGTGCATGTGTAAGGTTAACTGTAAGTCCACTGGTTTGACTGGTGTTACTTGGGATTGTTGTGTTGTGTTGTGTTGATCCTCTGATGCCCCCTAGCTTGAACACAAATTTGACAGCCAATCCACCTTAAGAGGCATTCAAATTTCCCCCAAAACTGAGACAACACTATGACATCTCCACTGCTTCTCACTGTTGCTGGTGAGCAGTGCTCTAGAATAAGACAGGCAGCAATATTTTAAAGAGCAAAATGTAAACTACATTCTTGGTAGGCCCCACCTTGTAAGTGCACATCTTGTAAGTACATCAAGTAATACTTGCCTTCCACATGATACTGGAAATTGCAAACAGTTGTGGGATGTGACTCACATATTGAATGATATCTATTTTTTTAAAATTTATACCGAATGGTTTGTATGGGTGACTTCAGATTCAGAGTGCCTGCTAAGCATAGCTTGTTGCGTGTACCCCGAACCCACCGCCCAAGCGTGCCATCCAGTTTCAACAGCCAATTTTGCCTCCGCCCTTTCGCCGGACAGGAATGCGGAGGGTTTTACGTACCCCACAATGCTGCCACACGGCCGCCTGGGGTCTGGGTTGAACCTCGTTGGCCAGTTGCCAGCTGGCCTTTCCGTTTCAGTGGGGTCACACAATGCGCCCACTCTGGGACTTGTACCCAGTGCCGCTGGATTACGAGTCCAGCATCTTTCCCCAAGACCATGGAGGCGGCATTGGTGTATTTTAAGCATTGGTGTGCAATTTGATGGTGCTCCTCTCCAGCCCAGCTAACCACTTAGATCATCCATGTCTAGCTGGCTACATGACCATGGAAAGCCAAGCATAATGGTAATGGCAAACATAATGCAGCAAACAATGCTCTTGCCACTTGGTATGACATCATTGAAAACAAAACGTTACCCATATTTTCCTGGCTAAATCCAGCATAATATTATGCTAAGGTGTCTTTGTGTATTTTGCTTTTTGGTTACATAATACTAGAGCACACATCTTAAGAATATGAAATTCCAATGATTAAATGTTTCAACAATTGATATCAAGATATTTTGGCATACTGATTTAGACCCCAGAAAAATATTAGCAGCATTTATGGGTTGTTTATGCTTTCAAGAAGTGATGTCAATTAGTACACATAATCATTTAGGATGACCCTATACTCAGCAAAATTTCTGAGTTATGCCATAAGCTAACTATTGGCTAAGTAAATACACTTCAAATTGTCATGACATGTTCAATCTTTAACTAAAACACTATTCCATACATGGGCTTGCACTTAATGCCAAATGGAGATGAAATCCCCTCCTGAATTAACAAAATACTGGTTCAGTCAGAGTTAAATAATTTCTTTTTCAAAACTTTCTGCTCAGTCCTGGCTGAATCAACCAAGTCATCAGCAAGTTCTCTCAAATAAGCTAAAAGCAATGGTATATATTCATGGTTTCATGGTCCACTGCTCTGAGCAGTAGCTATGGTTCAACTGCATGGTTATCATACCACTTATCTATTCAGGGTGGTATGCATGCCATTAACCAGGTTTTCATTCAAACTGTTTTCACTGGAATTCCATCAACTGGAGAGGATTTCAGGATTGAGCCATATTTGAGTCATAACCAGCAGACTTAAAATTATGCTTTAGTAGTAAGTACTAATCCCATGAATAGAAGCATAGCTACTCAGCCAGAATGGATTCTGTGAAAGCTAAACCAGGCGCCAATCTAGCACCCAGTCTTCAGACATAATTGACATCATGGTGAGCACAAGTAAAATAGACCTTTAGATCATACAACTGTCATACTGGTATCTTCAGCAGCTGGTGTGGGTATGGGCATAATCAAATTTCTGAGATTATGGGGATACATCAAGTTTGGGAGAGCCACCATGAAATCTGGGGACAGGGGCACAATTCACAACTTGACCTCAAAATGGCATTTTCAAACATGCATTCAATGACAATGCAAAAACAATGCAAAAACATGCTTTCTGTGGGCAAGATTGCAAGAGAAAAATTACATTCTGAAAAATTGGAGGAAATGTCCCCAATTAGAGGCTGCACCCAAGAATGTGAACCCTTCCTTCCTTCCTCTTAATCTGATTCCACATCAGACTAACCAAACAGGAGTATGGCCTCACAATCCACCTGCCCCGGACTTGCCGAGAACCCAACAACTAACTGCCATCAAATTTCATACGATGCAGGCATTGGCGCCTAAAGGATTAGAGCAAACAACAATTTCTTTTCCCCTTACGCGCCAACGCCTACTCGCCACCCACCTCCAACCACAAATGTATAATTTACTCCACCGATCCCACAAATATGTTTTCTTCGACCAACGTTACGGTGTTTTCGTCTTTGGGTCCGTTCATTTTTGATAACATGCCCAGTCGAATACGGGATCTACGAAGTACCACTCACCATTCTTATGACGTCAAAGTAAACTTACGCAACAAGAAATGTGTGGAAGAAAGGGTAATTAAGAGGCAGCAGCTTTGAAGAAAGCTTTTTTTTTTTGCATTTTTAATAAAACATTGGATTGGACATTGGGGCTTTCACACCAAAACTCTTTTTGTGTTACATATGACTTCTACGTAGTAACGTTCTCACAGTTGCGAGTGTTTATTCAGCATAGGTACAGGGTAACTCGGGAATTATGAACGGTAGTCCCCTGTGATTCCATGCATCCACGGTTGATGACATTGTATATTCGGTGCAAGACAGTATCGTGCCCCGCGAGTCTACGTTGTATGGCGGTTCCCAGACCCATAGTCAGGCATGTGGAAGGGATATGTGACGCGTTGATGCTAACGCATGACGAGACAGAGGACATGGTCATTCCGAAGAAGATGGATTTCGAGTACATGCATCTTAGTGTTTGACTGGCATCGCGAGCTCTGTACGGGGCACTGGCGGCAAGTGGCGGGACCAAACCTGTTACCACAGCGAACTACGTTCTACTATGAGTCTTGTGGCATGCGACAGTGCAAGTGTGATGAAGGTGGTAGTCAGATAACAGCTGACCTTCAATTGATACTTGTCTGTGTGGATGGGGCTGCAGAGTTGGTATTGTCTTAATTCCCCTCCTCATCAATTGCCACCTTCATCACATATGTATTTTTCATGACTGTCTACTCAGTCTGTCTGTCCATACCAACCCATTCAGTCTATTAAATCATTATGATCAGAATGAGTTGGGCGCACCATACCCATGTTGGGTGTTTTGGACAATTCTCTATCTTGGAAACCATTCCTGTTGACAATGCGGTGCATAGAGTGCCTCAGGGTACAATGAAAAGTGAATTTCCTGTGTAATTTTGTTGCCCCTTCTTTGGTTTCAGAAAGGTTTTAGCAATCTTGGCCAGATGTTGATGGGGTTCTAGCCCCATCCCCTGATCTGTGCAGATCTTTCCCCAGACTATGGAGGTGGCAACATGAATTGGTCAGGGTGTTAGAACATTTAAGAAAACTTGGCTATCAATATCAATGGTATTGCTTCTGGACTATTTAAGCAATCTGAGCTGTCACCATCAAAGATGTTGCTTCTGAGACAGATGATGCATGGTGGGCGGATGTGCAGTGTGGCGGCCCAGGTGGCTGTCAGACACTCCTTTCTAAGCCCAGTCATACCCCGATATGCAAGTACTTTCCTGAGTGATGTGCCCTTTGACTTCAGTCCATATCAGTGTGTGGGCTTTGACCTGGACAACACGCTATGCCAGTACCAGGTGCAGCCACTGATGGAGATGGCTTACGACCAGTGTCTTGTGCCGCACCTCATCTCTCGCTGGCAGTACCCAGCCGACGTGTTTGCGCCCATGTGTGACCAGCTCGAGTTGTGCGCGCGTGGCCTCATCCTGGACACCATGGCGGCAACCTGCTGAAGTTGCGCCACGACGGCGCCGTACTGCGTGCGACGCACGGCTCGCAGCCGCTGACGCGCGCCGAGCTGGTGGAGGCGTACGGTCGGGGCGGCGCGCCGGCGGCCGCCCGCCACCTGGCGCTCTCCGTGGCCGATCCGCCGTGCGGCACGCTACGCAGTTTCCGCGACTATTTCGACGCGGTGGGCGTGCCGGCGGCCGCCTGCCTGGTGGACGCCGTCGACGCCGGCCGGCTGCCGGGCGTCGACTACGCGGCCGTGGCGGCCGCCGTCCAGGACGGCATCGCGCACATGTACGCGCGCCATCAGTTCGCCGCCGACGACGGCGGCTTCTTCAGCCGGCTGCGCGCCGACACGCCGGCGCTGGCGCACCCGTGCAGCGCCGCCGTGCTGCGCCTGCTGCGCCAGCTGCGCAGCCAGGGCAAGCTGCTCTTCCTGATCACATCGTCACACGCTGACTACGCGCGGCACATGGCGCGGCTAGCGCTCGGCGGCGCCGACTGGTTCGACTTTTTCGACGTGGTGGTGACGTACGCCTGCAAGCCGCGCTTCTTCACGGGCCGCGCGCCGTTCCTGGCCTTGGACGCGGCCGACCGCGAGGCGGCGCCAGTGGCGGGCGCTGCGCTGCGGCCTGGCCGCGTGTACTCGCAGGGCAGCTGGGCCGAGCTGTACGGCCTGCTGCAGCGGCAGCTCGGCACCGAGCGGCCCGCCTGCGTCTACGTGGGCGACAACCTCGCGTACGACGTGCACCCGGCGCGCGCCTACACGCGCTGTCACGTGGTCGCCGTCTGCGAGGAGCTGGAGGCGGAGTGGGGTGTGCGCTGCGCGAGCGGTGCGCCCACCACCGTGCGCCACTCGCGCCTCTGGGGCTCGCTGCTCTCGGAGGGCGACCAAGACACGCTGTGGGGCGCCGTGGTGCGCGGCGCGCACGGCTGCGTGCCCAGGGTCGATTACCTGGTGCCGCACTGAGACGAGGCGGACCGGCTCCGTGGCCGCCGGAGGCTAATGTCCAACCATTTGTGACTGGCGATGTTTCATGCGTCCCTCCGGGGATCTTGAAGTTTCTCTGGTAGACGTCGGTAGATGTGATTGATGCATGTATCAGTAAGGTGTGCGTGCTGCTGCTGGCGTTATTTACGTTTTACGTGATTATTTTTACGAATTTCCCCGTAGGTGTGTGCTGCCGCATGCTAGCAATATGGAACTATGAATGTACGTTTGACGGTCCTTTCTTCCACGTCCTCGCGTGATGAGTCTTGCGGTTTCTGAGCTGTGCCTTGTGTGTGCTTTTCGCTTGAACAGCGCTAACCTCGCTCATTTACCGAAACGCTCGATGGATTGTGCGTGCTGTAGAACTGTCCCGTGACAGTGCACTTTACCTCGTAGGTGACAATGCTGGCGTTTTGTGACGTTAACCTCCCATCTCGATGACCCCCAATGCCGATAGGCACTGCTCTTGGTCGTTTGTGCGGTTTCGTGATTTCGGGGAGCGCGTTTTGAGTCATAAAATGGCGGATAATGCGCACTTGTGCATGGGATTCCCCATTTGTGTTGTTATATTTGCATTCCTGATCTGATGTGTGTTGCCGTCCGCGTTGAAGACTAACGGTCTCGCAGTCGGCCATTCTGCAAGGCGCCATGATGCACAGTGGTCGGCGCTCTCTAACGCATCTTACGCTGCAGCCTCGCTAGCCCAAAACCGGAGCAACAGATATGGTAGCTTGTCCGCGAGAGGCGGTGCTTTTCACATGTGCCCTATAATAAATGCTGTGCATTTAACAGCTCGGCGGGTTTGACCTTCACCGACACGCACGCTGAGATACCTGCAAGCGGCCACCGAGCGGCGCACTTACGAATTGCCGATGGTCTAGGCTTCGCGGCACCTGTACTCATGACATCCCCGCGGCATCTGCACGCGTGGCATCACTGCGGCACCTGCACGCGCGGCATCCCCGGCGGCACCTGCGCGCACGACATCCCCAGCGGCACCTGCGCGCGTGGCATCCCCGCGGCACCAGCCGGCCCGAGCAGACCGGCCAGCCATAACCCGCGGCTGGCTGCGCCGGCCGCCGCGTCTGAGACCGCGCGAGCTCACGGACGCCAGTGAACACAGCACACCTGATCTGAATCTTTTCATGACAGCTAGCTCAGGCTTTGTTACAATGACTTGGTAAGAGGGGCAAATTTGCCATGCGTCATTTTCCTGCATGTTTTGTCAATGCTCGGTCATTAAAAGACTTTTTTCATCTCAATCGCCAGCCACCACCTTACTACTGTAATGTGGCACTTCGTCACCACACCAGTCACTTCGCTCACCACCACATCACCTGAAGTCACCATGTGTCACAGCTCATCAAAATCTCTCTTCCCTTCTGGGGGAATTACGCTAACAGACGTCCAGTTAAAGGGCTGCGCCTGGTCATGTGGGGCCGCCTGATATCTGGTTTACCACGACGGCAGGAGCCGCGGACCTGAGAGGAGACGCTGCGACTTCATGGTTTAATAGTTCAATGACAAATATCTGGACTTTGTTTCGGCGTGTTGAAAAGCAGTGGTGGGGCATCCCTGTAAATATGCCAGCTGTGCGTCTTATGCAAGTCATGGTCCATACAGCCGGGATCTCTGCTCGGATATTTGCAGGAGTTACATTTCTGGCCGATGTAAGCAAACATCCGAGCAGGGATCCCGGCTGTATGGATCATAATGTGCATAAGACGTACAGCTGGCATATTTACAGGGATGCCCCACTACTGCTTTTCAACACGCCGAAACAAAGTCCAGATATTTGTCACTGAACTATTGAACCATGAGGTCGCAGCGTCTCCGCACAGGTCCGTGGCTCCTACGGTCATGGTAAACCCGAGATCAGACGGCACCGCATGGCCAGGTTGCCCTCACTAGAGGGGGCCAAACAGCCGTCCCCATGCTTACGTATCTAACGCAGCTTGCCAGCGTCCAGTTGCACAAGCACCATCGGCCGGCTGTGTTGCGTCCGTCTGACAATCCAATCTGGTTCCCCTCCAATACCCTCTAGCTGGTATTGTGAACCAGTGAGGTCCACTAGCCCAGTCCGGACAACCAGCGATAAACGCCTTGACAGTTGTGCGAAGTCATACGCCGTCAGACCTCACGAACATCACCGGCATTTACGTAATTGCGGGAACTAATCGAGGAAAACGCACGGTTGTTACACCAGACACAGTCAAGTCTAGCCCAAAGTCATCATATATCTTTAAAGCATACAGCCCTGCCAGAAATACGATGCATATGCAGCTAAACGACTAGAATGCGGCTGTGGGTAGCGAAGCCACCACGCGTTGGCGCTGACGCACAACTAATGAAAACGGGACGACCCAGCTCCGTTCGCAGAAGTGTTAACTCGTCTATCGTTACACCGTCATTGTCATCGATCACAGCTGTGAAGCTTGCCTTTCGAATCGATATCGGGTTCCGGCGTTCCGGTGCGCCAGCGGAACACACGTGGGCTGCAGTGCTCCAGTTCACACAGACGCTGAGGATAGCCGATTTATTTATAGGTGATTTTCGTATCCACCCGGCCCATCAGTCGCGTGGACAAGTGGCAGCTCTTATCACGTCGATCGACTATACGATCCAAAACACCGGAACAGAACCGACCCGTGCCCACACTGCACGCCGCTCGGCGGGAATGCCAGCGCGAGCAGCCCCGGCACCCACCCGCACCGCTCGACGGGACGAGCCAGCGCGGGCAGCCCGGGGCCACCTGCACCGCTCGATGGGACGAGCCAGCGCGGGCAGTCCCGGCACCACCCGCACCGCTCGACAGGACGAGCCAGCGCGGGCAGCCCGGGGCCACCTGCACCGCTCGACAGCACGAGCCTGCGCGGGCAGCCCCGGCGCCACCTGCACCGCTCGACAGCACGAGCCTGCGCGGGCAGCCCCGGCGCCACCTGCACCGCTCGATGGGACGAGCCTGCGCGGGCAGCCCCGGCGCCACCTGCACCGCTCGACAGCACGAGCCTGCGCGGGCAGCCCCGGCGCCACCTGCACCGCTCGACAGGACGAGCCGGCGCGGGCAGCCTCGAGGCCACCTGCACCGCTCGACGGGACGAGCCGGCGCGGGCAGCCTCGAGGCCACCTGCACCGCTCGACGGGACGAGCCGGCGCGGGCAGCCTCAGGGCCACCCGCACCGCTCGACAGGACAAGCCAGCGTAGGCAGCCCCGGCGCCACCTGCACCGCTCGATGGGACGAGCAGGCACGGGCAGCCTCAGGGCCACCCGCACCGCTCGACAGGACAAGCCAGCGTAGGCAGCCCCGGCGCCACCTGCACCGCTCGACGGGACGGGCCGGCGCGGGCAGCCCCGGCGCCACCTGCACCGCTCGACGGGACGAGCCAGCGCGGGCAGCCCCGGCGCCACCTGCACCGCTCGACGGGACGAGCCGGCGCGGGCAGCCTCGGGGCCACCTGCACCGCTCGACGGGACGAGCCGGCGCGGGCAGCCCCGGCGCCACCTGCACCGCTCGACAGGACAAGCCAGCGTAGGCAGCCCCGGCGCCACCTGCACCGCTCGACCGACAGGGGACCGGACCGCACAACGCGGCAGGTGGCACCACCTCTGCCGGCGTGCTCACCGGCGGCGGTCGCGGGGCGACGACGGGCGCCATCCTGGGAACGTCGGGGACCGGCAGTCTTTGGCAATCGTGGCGCAGTGAGCGTCAGCAGCGAACACCAGTGACGTCACGCTGCAGAGGCACGTCGACCACAACACAAACACCGCAGACGGGATACACAGGCATCGAACGCCGCGTGAAGACGATCTGCTCAATTGCGCAACAATCAGGACCGGAATCGCCGCACAGCACACACCACGGAATTGGGCTACAGAAGCCTTTTATCGCACACGTCAAGTTCTCCTCTGGTCTGGTCTGAAGCTGGAATTACGTGGAGGAATCGCCAAGCTCCAGCGCAGCAACGTTAGCACACAGTGCGTGCGTCACGGAATTCGATTTTCTCATGCAAATGATCGCCGCATCCTCGACTTGATCAACAGACGCACATTCCTACCTCGACGTGGTCCCTCGTTCGTTTGCATCGAGCAACACGTCCATTTTGGCGCTACACTGAGGGCACTCCCAGCCCATCAGAGGGCCCGGCCGGTGAGGTGATCGCGTGTCGGAGTGGTTGGTCGGGGGCGGCCGGCACCACCGCCCGTGCAGCGTGGGAGGTCTCATTGTCCAGGGGAAACAAAAAATCAATGTCGCAGCGGACTGGCGAATAGCACAATGTCATCGTCACTGTCAAATGACGGAACATAGCGGTCAAAAATTGCACAAGACGTCAGGAAAGCTTCCAACAAAGTTAGGAGAAAAATAGATCAACTTGAACTCATGATTGAGCGAGGAAACTGCGAGCCAACACTCTAAATCACAATAACCCTAAGACGAAGACTAAAGGCAGTTCTACTAAAAAAAAACGAAGATAAGGAAGAATCAACGAGGATGGATGGAAAGTATAGCAACGCAATCGAAGCCAATACCATGATTTGATTATCAAAGGGCCGGTTACCAGGGTGCAGATCATAGACGGCTGCGAGCAACACACATCAAACACAGCGCAACGGTCACTGGTCAGTATCACAACACCTGTTAGGCTGCACTTGCTATCTAACCCGGCTCGACGGTTTGCAATACTAAGACGATTTTCATGCAACATTCCAGACATTGCATATTCTCAAAAATCGTTCAGCCCTGTCTCGAAAATAGATCAGGAATGTTGTTCACATTTCAAAATTATTCTACAAAATAGCTCCAATCGTGGCCAGCGTATGACTTCCCTAGAGACAACGGAAGGGACGGAACGCATCTGCCCATTAATTGGCATGCGGCCGCGGCACCAGCACCGGACACCGTATAATGCCCTATAGCCTATGAAACAGACAGCCGGCATCATAGCTGTAACTGACTAGACTGGGGATGGCACATTTTCAG